TTATGAGCTCGCCGGAGATGCGACGTTCCTCCACGTGATCCTGGCCCTCCACCACGCCGTCGTGCTCGCTGCGCCGGAGCTTGTTGATCAACAATTTCGAATTGAGATGGATCACGTCGAGTTGCATCAGCAGGTGCACGAGCACGGCCACGGCCACGGCCACGGGCACGGGTTGATTGACGAGGTGCAGCAGGGCCCGTTGGCCTGCCTTTACGACGCTGTACAATTGCCGGAGCCTCGATGAGGAGGAGAGGATCGATAGGAAGGTTTACCTCGTTTGGAACGGGACGATTGAACCACCAGTGCTGATGAACATCCTCCAGGACAACAGTATACGTAGATGTCGCTGTAGCGTACAGTTTTCGGTGTATTTCGTGACAGCAAGGCATGCCGTATGTCCCCCTGAATGTTCCATTGCAAATAGGATTGAAATCGTCCTTCTTGGCCTTCTTGACTTGGGCAGCGAGTAGCCTCAGGCCCTGCTCAGTAACCTGCCGAAGAACCCCAGCAAACTCAGGAATCCTAACCTCATGCTGAGGAGCTCTACGCTGCCGGCCAAGCTGATTCTTTCTCTCAACACCTTGGCGGTGAATGTATTGAGATAGCAGGGTGACTACGTCGTAGAGGTCGCCTGTCGAGATCTGAAGATAGGACTTAATACTGCCGTTTGAGCCCTCTAGCCGCGAGGTTGTAGTGTTGCCAAAGTGCGGCAGAAGGCCCGTATGGTACGTCGCAATCTGCTGTTGAAAAGGCCACCACTCTTCGGTGAGGTAGTCGACCAGGGCTTCCTTGTGTGCATAATCCGATTGAATCTTGTTCCAAGCGGCTACAAACTCAGCCTCTGTAGGTTTTGATAGGCAGAAGTTAAGCTCGTTGATAAACCTCTTCCGATCTCTCTGAATAACATCAATCTCAGCTACTGTTAGCACTTAAGAGGCACGTGCTGGGTCCTCTAGATCTATTGTATCCGCTAATGCTTGCTCCTTATCCTTCCAAACAGTGACAGCCTTGCTGGCGATGTTCTTCTGCACGTGCCACTTGCACAGGATCTAAGGAACAAGAGGAAAGAACTTAGCCAGTGCATTCTTGAGTGCGAGCTCTTTATCCGTGATGAAAACGCCTGGTGAAACGCCTAGGCGCTGGCACACTAGGTAAAGCTCCCGCACGGCAAAGATGTAGTCCTCTTCTTCCTCCCCTGGGAGAAAACAATAGCCTAGCTCGTAGTTCCTGCCCTGGTTGTTGACGCCGTTGATATAGAGGAGCGGCATCTTGAACTTATTTGTCTTGTAGGTGCAATCAAGAAGAACAACATCAGGATTCTTCTGGAACATCCGAACACTCTCCGGGTGCATGAAGTATAGGTACTTGACTCGGTTTACTTCATCTAGCTCGTATTTGTAGTGGTAATGAGCGTCCGGGTCGTCGTTGCCGTGTTCCTCAAGCACCTTAAGTATGGCCTGAGTTGGAGTAAGCCCCTTAAGCTTTATTCTCTTCCACTCCCATCTCTTGTTGTATAGGTCCTGCATCGTCACATCCTTGCCCTCAGCTAGGAGGTTGTTGAAGATAGCACCTACGGGCGTGCCTCCGTTGAGCTGATTGTATATAGTTCGGATGGTATCCTTATCGAGATCTCGGTGCGCAATAGGAGTTCCATCCTCAGGATTGTACGGCTCGTGATTGTGAGCATAGACCTCAACCTCAAAGAACCAATCACCTTGCAGTAAATCTCTTGAGAGGGCCCCTTTAAATAGGCAATTGGTCTTCTTTGTACGGGTGCGGCGCTTCCTATTAGCTGGCTCATACTCTCCTGCGCACTCGCATCGAACCAGCACCTTGCGCACCTGGGGGGGCATGCGCTTGTCCATTTTTTTGTTGTATTTAACTATGGCGTATCCTTCTTGCTTGGCCCAAGTGTTGATTGACTTCATGCCATCCTCTACGGAGGCGTGGCGGCCCCAAGGGGGCGGCCGGAGGGGCATAGTGTTGAGGTGATGATGTAGAGGAAGTGGTGTTGATGCATCGAGAGTAAGTGCGCAGGTAATGTAAATTCGAATTGAGCACGAGCGGGCAAGCGGGTGAGTTTGATTGGTGGAACAATATTTATACGGGCCGGAGCTAGGCCTAATATAGGGGGGGTGACACGCAGAGAAAAGGGGGGTGATACGCAAAGAAAGGGGGGGTGATAACTAAGGTGCTCCATTAAGAAGGGGAGGGATATTGGCACACCCCCTAATCACTCCGCGCACACCCCCTTTTTCACTCCACGCACGTACCCCCCCCCCTTCTTGGCGCCTCACCACCTTCTAATTGGCTCGGAGCAACGCGGAGCTTCCTCTGGGCATTCACCTTTACGTCTCTCTGCACGTGATGCTATACGCGAGGCCGTACGTGAGCTCGTACGTGAGCTTGTACGTGAGCTTGTACGTGAGCTCGTACGTGAGCTCGTACATGAGCTCACATGTAAGCTTGTACGTGAGCTCGTAAATAAGCTTGTACGTGAGCTCGTACGTAAGGCTATACATAAGGCCATACGAATCGGCATAGCTATACAGCCTCTCCGTTCTACGGTGCATTCTTTCCAATTCGTGCAGCCGTATATACAGCCGTACGTGAGCTCATATGTAAGGCCACACGAATCGGAAAGAATGCACTGTAAAATAGAGAGGCTGTATAGCTATGCCGATTTGTATAGCCTCACATATGAGCTCACGTACGGCTAAGTGAATAAGAAAGGCTACACGTGCAAATGCACGTGAGAATAGAGCTCCGGACGAAGCTCCGAGCCGCTCCAGCCAATCAGAAGATCAAACAAGAAGGGGGGTGTGCGCGGAGTGATTAGGGGGTGTGCCAATATCCCTCCCCATTAAGAATGAGATAGAAGAGGATAAAAGGAATTAATATATGGATGGGCTACTACTACCTAGTAGCAATATAGCACAGGGCTTCTAATAGATTATTCCAACCTAAATAATAACGACCCTATAATTTAAAATATTATTAATAATAGCCACCTCTATATAAGTAGACTAAAGAGACCAGCATTATCTAGCCTATCTGAGACCCCTAAATTAGCTAGATTAAAACTAAGAGTCCTAGTAAAGTAAATTCTATATAGTATATTAATAAGTCTAAGTTGGTGTATGCGTAGGTATATATAGTAGTAGTTCCTTATTTTAGACTTTAAAAATTATTAACTTTATAAAAAAGGGAAATAGGATTAGATATACTATACTATAGGAGGTAGCTGAGGCTTATATTAGCTATATAAGCTATTAGTAAGAGCCTCTATAAAGTAAGAAAATAGCGTAGCTTAACTTGGCAAGCGTGTAAAGGTTGTATAGGAAGGATCAACAGATAGAGCGGTAGCAGGATAGAAGTTGAATTAATTGAATTAGATTACCTTCCATCTCATGGAGGTTGGGCCTCTATATACTCGAATATATAACTACTAGAAGTTTCTCTATACTTGTTAAAAGCATAGTTTGTAATGCTTACACTAGCATATTCTAGATACTTCCATGTATTACAAATACAGTTTGATTTATAAGAGAATCTTCCACAAGATTCCGTCTAGTTCCATCTAATTCTAGATGGTTCTAGAAGCTTAGAGATATAGCGCTTACTATATTCTAACAAAGCGGACTAGGGTAGTAGTAAGCAGTAGCCTAGCTATATTAAGTCTTAAGATATAGTAATATTTTATTCTGTACAAACTAGATAAATACCAGAACTGCTAATTGAAAAATTAAAGCATTATACTATAGTAGTACAGCCTAGAAGAAATACACTTAGACAGGAAATATTATAGACATATAAGGTTTATAATAGCATAAGCGTTATATCCTTACGCATAACGCTCCCAACACCATTAAACTGTATGCGTTTGAGCGTGATATAAGAAATGTTAGATAACGTTACAGAAGCGTTAGAGAACGTTTTATAAGCACTTTATAATGCTATACGTATGTATATATATAAGTCCGCTGCTGTTAATATAGAATAGAACTTAAGCAATACAATTCCTTTCTATCTATCTATCTATCTCTCTATCTATACATCAACTCTATACTATTAACAAAAAACATACATCAGTTTAAGAAAACTAGCTTAATTAGATATAGCAAAACTGTAATGCTGTATAAGGTATTACTGCTTATAGAGCCACTATATATCCCCTATAGCTGCGCATAATAGTAAAGAACACATAGGGTTATACACTATAGAAGATAAGGTTATCTATGTATCTATGTATCTATGTATCTATATATTTTTATAAAAGCTAAAGGCATAAAATAGTTAACTGTATTAGATATAAGAAGAAATTATTAAACATCTAAATTATAAATACATGCTGCCTATATACTTTATCATTAAGAGAGTAAGAAAGTTATAAAGGTATATAAGGCACGTGAAATAGTAATAATTAATAAATTTAGGTGAATATATATTGATTACATAAGCATAAAGTGCGCTGTAGGTGTATAGGAGGATGCTAGGGCGGACGTGTATATACCTTGAATATTCTTTATTAGAATGTAGTCTTTGTTATAATAAAGAGCTAACGTCTCCTTATTATAATAAATCCTCTCTATTAGAACAAAGAAATACAGAGTTCTATGTCTAAACAAAGGATTAAAGGATATATATATAGAATCTATCTATTTAGGTACATAGATAAATACATAAATAGATAGATAATAGAACAAAGAAATATATTGCTTATTCTTGTTCCAATAGTAGCCATTCTGTCCTCTTAATCTCCTCTGCTCACATGCCTATATGCTGCTGTGGCTCGGGTCGGGCCCTGGCTCACCTTCTGCTCACCCACTGCAGTGTAGTCTTGTGTGTACCTACTAGAAACAGTGAAATTTTAATAAGGGGCCTTAAATCTGTCCTGGGGCACGAATAAAGGCCCCTATACCATTTCATTGGCCTTTAATACTCTAGCTTCTTTCCAAGCAGGATTCTCTGCCCTTCTCCTTATTAGCATGGAGTGTGCTAATCTATTAAAAATGACCTGCCTCCTCTTACTTACCTTTGTTAGAGGTATAGAGTCGATGTATAGATCGAGAGATAGATAGATAGAAAGGAATTGTATTGCTTAAGTTCTATTTTACATCGACAGCAGCGGACTTGTATATATACATGCGTATAGCATTGTGAAGTGCTTATGAAATGTCCTCTAATGCTTCTGTAACGTTTATCTAACGTTTCTTGTATTACGCCCAAACGCGTATAGTTTGATGATGTTGGGAGCATTATGACTAAGCATATGACGCTTATGCTATTATAAACGTTACAACCTTCCTATTCTTTCTATTCTTTCAGTTTTTTCTTTTATTTCCTATGGGGGACTACTAATTGTGCACCCCCTATTTCCTGGACGTACACCCCTTTTTCACTGCATGTACACCCCCCTTTCATCTAATCTTTTAATTGGCTAGCGCGGTGCGGAACTTTGTCCGGAGCTCTGTTCTCACGTGCGTCCGCACATGTATCCGTTCCAACTCACTTATGCGTATATAAGGCTGTACGTGATGCTCTGTATAAGGCTGTATATAGGGCTATACAAGAGGCTATATATAATGCGTACGTAATGGCATATATACACATGTACGCGCAGCTATATAGTAGCCATACGCGCAGCTGTATATATAGCCGTAACTGTAGGTATGCAGTCTTTCTCTTTTCTTGCATTGCTACTTGCCGTGTCTACGTGCCAAGGAGAACGCCGAAACTATCGAAATCTCCCCTTATTGAGGCTCCTTTCCATTAAGCCTGGCCCACCTGTATCGCCATCTGCGTTCGCATAAGAGCACGAGAGGAAGCTCCGAAGAGTTGGCGCGACCGATCTAGCCAATTGGAAGATTAGATTAGAGGGGCGTTGTACGTGTGGTGAGAAGGGGGTGTACAATTAGTAGTCCACTCAAAATATAAGGTTCTCATGTACTAAACAAGTGTGCTTGAGTATAATTCTAAGTTCTCAGAAACCTGCCGGGTTATTGTAGGTCTGTTATAACCGGCTCACTCTGTATTCCTTTCTCGCAGCTGAAGAAAGCCTAAGCAGATTGTTGGCTTCACGGGAAAACGGCCTCGGAGAACGATATCGCAAAACGTCCATATTCTTGTCGGACTCGGAGGAATTTACTGTTGATACATTTGCTCGCGCGGGCAAATTCAAAGCCTAAAATACCGAGCGCTAACCCAAAAGATTCGGCAAAGGGCCATCCCGGCCCGATACCTCCTTTGACCGACAATAGCATTTGAAGATAGGCTGGACTTTATTTCATATAAGATGGATCTATTGACTACAATATTTGTTGCTCTACAGCTACTTAAGGCTTTTTACTTCCGGTTCACGCCCTCCTTTACACCGACCACTTCTCTCGCTCCTATTATAGTAGCCATTTGGTCATCGTTACTTGAGACCAAGCCGAGCTAATTTTCGAATCACGATGACGTTCCTACCACGAGGAAACGACGCCCTTAACATTAATCCGCCGGCCGGAGTCGACGAAGCTCTGTCGCGGCATGGATCGGACTGGCTTTGGGTTGTTACGGCCATCTATATAGTCTGTTTTGTAAGTAAAGCGCTTAATTCTCACGGGTGATATTTATGATAGCCTCCATTGTTACGCTCACGCACTAACTTTCTTCTTGTTTGTAGCTCGGTCTCTTAGTCCTCTGTTTCACCTCCCGCGAGAGTGATAGAGTCTTCCATTACCTCTACACCATGGCCCTCCTGGTCGGCGCTGTTACCTATTTCGCGCAGGCTTCCGATCTGGGCTGGAGCGCCGTTGAGCAGGTCAATCACCTCGACCACGGCTTGTATCGCCAGATATTCTTCGCAAAGTACATAAACTGGGTCGTCGCCTTTCCCTCGTTCGCCCTGGGGCTCGGCCTGTTATCGGGTATCTCGTGGGTCACCGTTGTCCTCAACATATTCATCTCCTGGTTCTGGGTCCTCAGCTACCTTGCTGCTGCTTACACTACCACCAACTACAAATGGGGTTTCTTTGCCTTCGGCACTTTCTCGTGGATCATCCTCGCTATGAGTACGCTCAACGAGTGTCGCGAAGCGGCGGAACTCGTTGGTATCGGTCGCGACTACATCATGCTAGCCGGGTATTTGAACCTGCTATGGCTGCTGTACCCCGTTGCGTTCGCCCTAACCGATGGTGGCAATATCATCGGCGTTACTGGCAGCTTTGTCTTCTTTGGCATCCTCGACGTGCTAACGCTGCCGGTCCTGAGCTTTGCCTTTGCGATCCTGGGGCGCAAATGGGACTTTGGCAAACTGAGCCTCGCCTTCAGTGATTACCGCGGCGGCCGGCATGGTGCTTTTTCTGCAGACAAGGAGGCGGTCCCAGTCCACGATACCTCGGATTCTTAAAACATCTGAATAGGGGCTAAGCTGTCGAGGCCTGCGGTCCTGTTAGTGTAAGCAGGCTTTCACGTCCCTATATTGTCGTGGTCAATCTTGTGTCAGGGGAACTCATGCTTCTGGAGGAGCAACGTCATAGTCAAGTAGCGTCAGGAGTTTACTCCTTTAATCAATTTAGTCTTGATTCCAATGATGTTGATTGAAATTACGTACCATGGTTTTGGAAACAGGAAGTTTGCTTCCTTTTAAATACGGGGCAATGGCTAGTAATCTAATGGTAACAGGCACACCTGTACCGTTGGAGGCCACAGGAACCAAACTGTTAGCATAGAAATGTTGAGGACATGTCGAGTCAACAACTTACTAGCAGCTCTACAAAGAGCAACGTTTGTCAATGTTCTGGTCTGGCAGTTCACAAGTTGGATCGACCGATAGCGCTTCATTATTGCCGTGACATGACGTAGTTTGGTCTCAAGAAGTACATCATTATCTTCCGTTACATCAATGGAGTGAGTTCCCGAAATAAAAATGGGTATCACCAGTGCTCATAGGCAAGGGTAGAGCCGCTAGCTTCTGTAGAATGGAGCAAGGTACTCCACAGCTCGAGATCGTCGTCCGGGAGCCATCCGAAGAAGTCTTCGTCCTATGAGATATGGGTCAGCGTGTTGCGCATACAAAACAAGCAGCAATGACAAGAATACAAAGCGCGAGGGAGAGAAGTTAGATCAGGCTTAAATTAAAATGCAAGAGTGATACACATGCATAATACTTTCGTTTCATGCATGAATGAAACCAAAAACGGCTCAAGAGTGGCTGTTGGATGGCCGGAGGCACATACTGTTTGAGTAAGAGTGGCCGGGCGGTTTAAATCTGCCTGATCTAGTGCTCGGTCGTCAGGTGGTGCAATCAGGCCGGCTGTTTCGTCTTTCATTTCGTCGATCCCATGCTGGTTGACTTTTTTTTTTTTGGTCTACGGCGAGATGGGCATAGTGGCACAATTCTCTCGCGAATGAGAGCTTCAGTTCAAACTCGGTCGCGAATTCGACGCTGGAAAAATATCCAACCGCGATATCTGAACATCCGTCAGTCGTTTCTACTCGCAGGTGAGAGGACGTACATAAGCATGGAAGCGATCTGCTGCGCGACAGCGCTCATAATTCCTTGCATTGTATGGGGCGGGCCCGAACGCAGGATGCTTCCCAATACGTACCCAAAATCGCCAGATCTGATTGAATTGTGGTCATACTCCTACTCGAATCCCGCAAAATGTGAATGAATAGGTTAATGAAGCTGTACGTTGGAGTATACAGGGCGATCCTGATATTCTATTAGCAGGCTGTGACCACTCGTGACTCTGGATGGGCTGAAATGAAGGCATGGAAGGCATTAACAATACTTACATTGCGGAGCATGTGGCGTCCACACGTATGTGTCTGGTCGCAAGGATAGCGGATCGTGAGGCCTGAGCTACGGCATTCCATGACGCGTCGATCTGAGCCGAAGCAGCCATATCTCGTTTCGCATATGTACATATGCTCGACCAGGGGTAGGCTAAGGGCGTATTGATATCCATTATAAGACAGAAGTAATGGTACTGGAGCGATTGCGCTTGCCGCATGGTGATATCCTTTGGCAGCTCGGAAACTTCTAATGGAGCATCAAGGCAGAACTCGTCCTGCATGGAGAATTTCAGATCGTGAAGCTCCTTATTCAAGGCGCGAACAGTCTCGATCAGTTGACCAGGAGCTTGCCGCAGGGCGTGCGCGCTTGAGAGGCGTTTCTTGGCAGCAGAAGAGAGCCGCGTCAGTTCGATTAGTATGTGGCAGTAACTCGCAACATCAGGCCGTCCATTCAAGGCTCTTTGTGGGACCTGACAGCTGATCTCGTCGTCATCCATAGCCTGACGAATAGTCAGCTTTACCCGTCAACCGCGCATTGATAGAATACACACCGACGGGCGACCCGAGCGAGAGCAGATTTGTTTCTCCAGGCAACAAATAGACCAGAACATCCGGTTTCTATGCTCGACTTCACGCGGCGAAAGATTCCACGAACGAGCAGGCTGTCTGTGTAATCCTTTTGAACAGGCCAGCCGCATTGCATTTGAACACAGCATGTACTGCAGCGAGATCTTACCCAAACCCTCGCTGTAATATGCCTGCGGAATATGTCAGAGCCACAGTGCCGCAACTTAGCTGAATGATGTTCTTACCATCAGAATGAGAGCTTGCACTGCAACCATAGAAGCACGCACGAACAGAATCTCTGAGTAGATGGAAAGCGCATTTTCGAAGAAGGGCCATGACACCTGCGAAACTTGGCGAAAACCTGCCGTCTTCGAAAGCACGATTCGACAACCATAGGCCCAGATGACGTTTCGCAACGCGTAATAGGCCATGTCGTCAGGCATCGTGCCGTTGAAATGTGCGCGAAGCCGGGATTCAAACCAAGGACGCTCTACAATGCCAGTGGTCTCATCGGGTGACGCCCCAAAGTATGCTTGAAGAGAGGGAGATCAGCGGTTGCCGAGGATCAATGCACAACGTTCCTTGAGAGCGTACCTTTGGTGTACTGCCACGCAACCTCAGGCGAGGGCTCTGGTGCGCGGGTGGTCGCGAGCGGGCCACTCAGCTTCAGCATTCGGGCTACGTCTGCAACAAGCCGTGATGCTACGCTGCGGTATTCGGTGGAATTTACCTTCGAGGTAACCCAGTCCACACCGAGTCGTGAGCAAAACGACACGAGACTTCGCGGACCTATTTCTAGTCAGACCTAGCATGGCTTCAGAGAATGGAGGGATTATTTGCCGTAGTACTCGAGATCAGGCTGGTTGAATCGTGTCAGCATGCGATTGTAGGTTCCAGGCTCAAACCTACCGTCTCCGTAACGTAGACACTGCTGTCCTCCTGTTCTGTGTCTTGCGGACCAGCTACATTTGGGGATGGATTGCTGTCTTCTAGAGGCGCGACTGCTTGATGGCCTGATTGGTGATGGATGAAGACTGTGGGTTGTGGTATGCTGGGCCTGAGATCCTGTGGCGCGTCAGCTTTAAGGTATAGACTGGTGCTTGACGACCTGTTATCGTAGCCTTTGGGCTCTAAGACAGCGTATCATATCAAGGGCAAAGATCATTTCAATATCTACCACTCATGAACTCACAGCTAGATTTGCATGGGTCCCTCGATGGTTCCCTTGGCTATCGATTAGGGACGAGCTTGATGTGCAATCCGAGAGGTCAAGAGGCGTCAATGGACGGCTGCATTCGTCATTGGCTACACGCCCGCCCGTATGCCGAACTTTCGAGCCTTCGGCTGCAGTCCCCAGCAAGGCTTCGAGGTGCTGAAGACGACGAGACAAGTCTCCCGAATCATGGCCCTGGCTGTCGTGGATCCGTGGGCGACGCCGGGCCGTAACTACGCATTCCTCGCCGCGATCGAGGCAGTTGGCACATGGGATGCTCCCATTACCTATGGACCTGATGAGCTTGATTGGAGCACACGGCTTTTCAGCGTGCAGCCATACATCGAATCTTTTTCGCCCTGCAGTAATTGCATGCTGCTGTTCGACGATTTTTGCCTGGTATCCTGCTAGAGCTGTGGTGAGGCGTCTCGTCCATGGCGCCGATGCTGGAGGAGGGGGACCAAAGGAGCGACCTGAGGGGGAAGTGTATAAATGCTGAAGAACGACGACCCGCTAGGCGGTTCACACAGCTGTTGACTGCCCGGCCAGAGCCGAGGATTATGCTGACTATCATTTTGGCGAAACTATCTGACCTGTGGACCCCTACACTCGGCAACGCGCGCGGAACCTTGTATTGGTGGCCTTAGAATACCTTTGTAGAAAACCCGCCTCGCACGCCACGACTACGACCATATAAAATAAAAGCACTACTTAGGCTCTATTCGCCTATCCGCCGTTTTTCGAAATTCTGCGTTCGCTCTGTAATTTCGAGTAAGTTATCCCGGCCGAGAACGAGGGCTCTAAAATTATAAATATTATATGACGGATAGTGGCTAAATAGAGTTTTCTTGGCATAATTTCTACTCTCTACGGCTTGGATACTTTAGTGGCTCAATCTATAACGTCAAGTCTAAAGGCCTGAACCTCATAGCCAGTCCGCTACGTAACACTTGACTTTATTGTTGCCCGTCTAGACATCTAGGTATCAATGTCGCAGCCGTATGAAGTGTAGTTCCCAACGAACCCCGTGCTTCGATCAATCGAATATACAATTCGAAGACAGTCACCACACCACCCATGGAAGAAAGAGGATGCAATCGCTGATTGGCTGCAAGGGAATAGAGCTGATATGGCCCGGTAGGGCCGAAGGAAATCAAAGTCTATCGTGCTATCCTGTCCGTGCTCTAGAAGATGGGTCTATAAGAATTCGAGTGGAAACAAAGGGAGAAGAACCCCCCGAGGGCCGCAATCGTCTCGGATCCCCCAAGGTTGACAACCAGTCCATACAAAGTCAGCACTACTACGCACAACAATCTACGCTCTTGTCCAGAATGGCTCAATTAGGGTATCCTATGCAGCGCCGCAACATCGCCAGGGTTTCCTCCTATCATGACCCTTAGGGGTCGATGGAATAAGGTGCCATCGTCATGTCGAAACAGCCGCGTGAATCCCTCCATGGGGATGGCCGCGAGATGCGCTTTGTTGAGCATGCTGTTGCGCGACCACCTCTCGTGCATAAAACTCAACCAGCATCGTGCCATAGGCCTCCATTTCTTCTAAAGGAACGGCAAGCCGAAAATCGTTCAGGAGAAGGAACTGCAGTTCGAGATGGTTCAGCTCAATTAATGGCAAACCTCCAACCTAAAAGGCGTAAGCATAAGTGAAGAGATATTGGTAGAAACTGAGTTGCTTGCCTTTGCGTATCGGGAATTTGTGTAGAAGACGTCTGAGAAGAATTTGCTAGCGCACGTCACGCCAGCAATTACCAACCGATGAATATTGAAGCTGTCAACCACAAAGAAGTGTGATAGATTGTAAGGGTCAGACTCCAGTGCGGGCTCGATGTGGTGGGGAGGAGATGGTGGATGAGCTTCTTGAGGCCCGGGTTCGGCAGGTTTTCCCAGAGATCCTGATGGTGGAGGCGTGGCTGCTTGGGCTAATTGTGAGCTGGCATGTGGAGAAGAGTGCCCTGTCAAGTGGGCGGAAGATATGGAGCTGTGTCGGCTACCATCACCGGCCTGTACACGCTCCAAGGACTGTTGGTTGGCTTGTCGTAGACTTTGCATGGGTCCGGAGTTGACTCTTTCTGTCATCCTGTCAAAGTACACTAAGAGGCTTAAGAAGACTTCGTAAGTCGTCGGACAATATTTATGTATCCGACTTAGATAGCTCAAGATCGAGATGCTTGGCACATTCTTCCCATGGAAAGCTAACACGCTCGTGGTCTGCGGGCTGAGGCCAGTCGTCCCTTCAGGAGGCGGGATCTGTCGATGCAAATGTTCATGTTGCCTGTCGTTTGTCGTTGTTATCTTTGTTAATAAACCGGCTACCATCTCAATGATATCTGTAACCGGCATTTCACTGATTTCATACTGCGGACCAACATCATTCGGGTCTCGCCGCTGTCGCCGTGATAACGACCTTGTCTGTGAAAAGGGGCTCGATTCGTCGGTTGCGAAGCTTTGGATGTGTGACAGGCTTTTCACTTTTATCCGCCGCGGAGAAGCGGAGATGGATTCACTGGGTGATCGGAGAGGATTCACTGGGGAGTGCTGGGTGGAGGAGGGCGTTGTAGAAGGTACCGGCCGAGGATTGGCGAACGTATTCGCGTTCTGAGTAAAGGTAGGTGTTTGTTGCTGCGAGTGAGGCCTGAAACGCGGGCTGGGCGGCGGCTGCTGTGACTGCTGAGTGCTGGCACTCTGTGGTGCTACGTCTCCGGGACCTCGATGCTGCTGTGAGTGAGAAGCGGGAGTCTCTGGGCCAGATATGCCTCCTATGGGCTCTGCCATGGGGGTGTCTGCGGTCACCCCCGCCGGCGGGTTTGCAGTGGCTTGCGGCGACGGACGCAACGGTGCTTTCGGATGGTGGATTGAGACTGCGGGGGATTCCTGCGGCTGGTGATGCGCGTTGGCACCAAACATGGTATTGTGGAAGTGGAGTCCTCCAACCTCGCTGAGCACGACGGATCCCATTCCAGCCGCGGTGTCCAGCGCAGATTGGGGAGTATGGTCAGCGTGTGCACGACGCGGCGGCTACGCAGCTCGCGCAAGTTGAGAGTGGACTCGACGAGGCCACTGAGCGGGCGATGGCAAGTCGAGGGGAGACTTGGAGGTTGAGCAAACTGCTATCGCGCTCGCATCAAAGCAGCGGAGACGGCGACGCGACAGGGCGGGCGCGACGCGGGTCGGCGGCGGGGGTGGAATGGAGGGCAAGGCCGGTGGAATCGAGTCGGCGCCTGGACGGAGGCGGTGGTGGCGAGGAGAGGGAGGAGGCTGTTGGTGATGCTATACTGATAAGAGCCGCCACGGCGGAACTGCGCACTGCAACTTGGAACGAAAGCAAGAGGGGCGTCTCCCGTCCGCTGCTGGACAGCACTCCTTGACCGATGCTGCCGTAGCCAAAGCGAATTGGACGGCAAGGCCGGGCTGCACGTGAAAAGCGCGATCTTCTGTCCGGCGATGTGGAGTGCGGTGTTGAGACGGGCGTGGGTGCGGTCCAAGTCGACTTCGGGTTGGAGGGGCTCGCGTCATAAGAATCGCTCCTGATAGCAGCCGAGCACCAGCCACGACCCTCTTATTATTGTCTCCATGCGACCTCAGTCCCTGCCCGCTGCTTCGTCCTGTGCAAAAAGCGAGTGCTTCTACAATGCGTCAGACCGCCTGTTCTGAGCCCACTTGAAGCCCATTCTGAGCCCATACTTCGCGTTGACGACGAAGAAGCAAAACGCACCCCACGCGGAGTCCTTTGTTACTAGGCAATATGGGGCGTCCCGGAGCATGGCCAGCGAGGCTGAGCAGCTGTCGGCCTACGAGCCCACCAATTGCCTCGTTTAAAGATGTAATAAAGCGCTACACGATAGCAGACACCACGGTATGGAGCATGGCAGTGGCTTGGCACAGACGAAGGTAGCTCGAGTCACTGTTGACTAGTACAGTCTCTCGTTCTATCTTGCTGTGTACTCTTCTGCCACTCTTTCTAGTGCCTTTTTACCCTACTAGAAGTATTAGAATCATCCCATAAGTAGAAACACCGCCTCTGAGGTGTCCCAGCGAGTCTATAGGTTGCTTGAAATAACGAGTGTCTTTTTCTCTCGATATGGAAGCGTGTCAAAGCACCTTGTCGTTGACAAACAAGGTGTACACAAAGCTGTGCTGAGGCACCGTTTGCATTTGGAGTCTTCTTAATTTACTATACCGACTCCAGGACGCCATTGTGGCAGCCGAGCAACGCATCCCATGCCACCCAGCTACATCAGTTCATTCCGGGCCCCTCGTACTGCTGATCCGGCAGGTACAGGTGGCGGTTCGCACCCTTCGCCGTCAGAACTACCATCCGAATCACACCTCCCGAGCTGCCGTCCCATTTGATAGCTTCTTGCAGGGCACCCTTGACGAAGTTCACGCCTTCAGCCTCTGTCATATTGTCCTTCCAGTTGGCGTCGCAGTATCCGTAGATGTACGTCGAACCTGAGCCCCCAATGGCGTAGGGCTGCTTGTGTAGGGAGCCGCCTAACGGTATCGAGTACACTTGGCCTCCATGCCGACCGTCGTAGCCCGCAATGATCATGCCCGCCCTGTAGTATTATCAACACCTGCTGCCCCGCAGAACACATGTTCGGGGTCCACCTACGTCAACTGGTCCTTGTTGTCGTAGCACAGCTCTTGGAACATTGCTGCGGCTGTCTGTGTTGTTGGGGGCTCGTCGTTTGTGATGCCGTACATGCCCAAATGATAGTGAACAATGTCTGCGACGGCCTGAGTGTCGGCTGCGGAGCCTGATCGACAGCACCATATCGTGTCGTGGACTTGGGTGAGCTTGTCTGTGACTCGATTTGCGATGTATGCGCCGGTGGTCGTTCTGCTATCCGCCCCTAATATGACTCCATCTCTGAAGTTGATGGCCATGCTATCCGAGTGTCAATGTGCTGAGCGAAAGCAAACGGCGGATGCGGTCGAAAGTTGGCCTTACATGGACGTTCCTAGACTACAGCACTGGTCAACAATTATCCCCGCTGAGGAGATGTGATGTCTTACTTCACCTCTCCTGTCTTCAGGTGGTTCATATCGACATGGATGCCATCTACACATTATGAGCTCCAGGCGTTCCCAAGTAGCACCAACGCTCACCTTCTCCGAGCATGCCAGTAGGCTGCATGGCGACGAAACTCCTAGGTGATATAGCTGTATTGGCAGTTTGCCGAGTAGTATGTCGCGGAGGAGGAGGAGCAGTAGGATGGAAGTCGTCGTCACTGGAAAGGTTGGAGTCTGCAGGCAACGCAGCATGCGCGTCTGCGTGAGGTCGACAAGGCCGTGGGTCCAAGCTCCGCATGCACGTGACCAAGTACCATGGAACCCCAGCCTCGTCTCCAGTCCGTCTCTTGTGCCGCACAGCGGCTGCGTGGTGAAATGCAGTCGAGCACTGACTGGCAGTTTTCTTGACACCAACCCCTGAAGACTCTGTGCGTGGGCGAGTGTCTGCAAAGCTATCATCTTCCTACTCGAAATAGAGCTAGCACCTCCGCTTTTGGTCGATGCAGGTGTATCTCTACTCGTCCACCGCTTCCTCTCGTTCACCGACAGCACTCTCAATAGAGTGCACAGAACCCCACAGCTGCGATGTCGTCCACTATAGATACCCTTCTGTCGTATTTGCGCGTCCCTGTTCTGGCGTCCTCTGGATTAGCGGCGGTACTCAGTGGCCTCCTTTACTTCAAGCAAAAGTAATGACTTCCACGCCTGTACTTCATATATTCCTTTCTAACACCCACCAGCGAGATAATCTACCCTCGAAACATCCCCGCTGGCTCGCGGACCGATGTACCAAAGCCCCCACAGTTTGGAATATCTGATTTCGAAGAATTGATGATTCCAACCCCCGACGGAGAATCACTGAGCGCATTCCTCATTCGACCATCCAACAAACAGCTTGCTATACACACAACCATCTTGATGTTTCATGGAAATGCAGGAAACATTGGATATCGACTGCCTATCGCTAAGGTGTTAGAAGAAGACATGGGATGTAACGTCCTGATGCTGCAATACAGGGGCTATGGCCTCTCTACAGGCACTCCAAACGAAAAGGGCCTCATGATAGACGCACAAACAGGCATAGACTATATCAGGAAGCGAGCCGAGCTAAGCGGGACAAAGATTGTGTTGTATGGGCAAAGCTTGGGAGGTGCCGTTAGCATTGGGCTCGCTGCGAAGAACCAAAAGCAAGGTGACATTGCTGGAATGATTCTTGAAAACACATTTCTCTCGATCCGGAAACTCATTCCAAGGTATTGTTTTCGATCACTTGAAATACGTTTGTGCAAAACTCACATGTACAGTGCCTTTCCTCCAGCCCGGTACCTAGCGCCTCTATGCCATCAGATATGGCCTAGCGAAGAGACTCTGCCACAAATAAGCAGCATTCCTATATTGTTCCTGAGTGGCCTCAAGGACGAGATTGTACCGTAAGTCCTTCCTACAGAACTGTCAGCTGCTCCACAAGGCCTCCCATTTCGGTGCATGAATAGGAACGCTTGAAAAGTGCGTAGGCAGGCTTGTACACCGACAATAGGGCCGCAAGTCAACCTCGCGGGCTTTATCCAGCGTCAACGCCAATATGATGGACACGTCCACTGTCCCCCAACCAGCACGCAAATGGAATCACGTCAAACGACAAGAAAGGCACCATTCTGACTTCTCTACTTAGGCCTTCGCATATGGCGCAGCTATATAAGTCATGCCGGGCAAGCACAAAGATCTGGCGAGATCTCCCAAACGGCACTCATAATGACACGGTTGCTGAGCCTGGTTATTTCGAGTACATCGACGAGTTTCTTAAACAACACGTCCTTCGAACTGAACCCATTCGACGAGCCAAGTATTGAGAATGACATACCACGATTCGAGAGATAGCAAGTATAGTCGAACTTTGTCCAGGAACAAAATCAAATGCAATCCTGGTACCAATACCTGCTAGCATAAGCAGATGGTAAGACGAGAGGGCGGTTGAACATTCGCAGAACGCTATTACATGATACCCAGCTGCGTGGAGTTAAGCCCAGCGGCATCATTGCTGGTTAGTAGCAGGGTAGGCAATCCGTTCCCGACGTCTATGCGATTGGATTTCCAGTAAGGCAGGCATTTACGATACAGCGCCCTCGCATAGTACTACACATATAACACAACTACCAGGTGCTCCGACTCCTTTTGGAGCCCTGCCACAACTCAACTGCTCACTAGTACGCCCAACGCCCGAGAATTCAGTTTTGATGATGATATGGTATTAGATTGGATATTGCCCGCCTGGGCATTATGTGCTATCAGGTGCAAGTTCCATCGCTTCTGTTCATGTACATACAAGGTTTATTGACGCTGTACAATTTAGAGGCGAACCTGCAGCGGACCGGCAACGCATACCACTGTTTACTGACCAACTGATGGACGCGGAGATAGTCGCCGATCTCCCGCTTTTAGCGGCGGCCCGCGAATCATGAGTGTTCCTCGGAGTCGCCTCGTCGGAGAAAGGTACCAAAGCTAATTGTCATTCTTGGACCCTCACAGCGTCATCAGTCTCCTTCCGGAGCTCCTAGTTTGACGCTTGCCCAACTACGTTTCAGCCGCTCACTATTATGGTAATGGGTCTCCTAGAACAAACTGTCATGCCCGCGTCAACGATCAATTGAACTCATAGTTGGTCTCTGATTATTGTGTAAAGCGTTGCCGTTCTCCGCCGGCCGGCTTATATCAACTCGTTCCCCCAGATTCCATGATCGATCATCTGTGTTAGGTCGACTATCGCAATGGCAAAAATGCAGTCACTTGCTATTCTCACTCTCTTTGGACTTGCAGCTGCTAAGCAGTGCACGAACATTACCATTCCGGTGGACATATCTGCCAAGAATTTCATGTACAGTGTTCCAGTTTTTACTAGCAACCAGGATGCTGCCACGTTTACTCAGAATTACACCAACGCTAAGTATGGAGGAAAGTACCCAATGGCGGCACTCCTGGGCTATCAAACTGTCGAAGGCTCGTACAATATCAGCGCCAAGTTCTGCACACCAGATGTAATGAACGGATCTCAGCCCGTCATCCAGGTGCTCACCCATGGAATTGGTTTTGACAAAACGTAAGTTGTGTAGTCAATGGTGGCATCCCATATGCTGATCAGGTATGCCTAGTTATTGGGATCTCGCCTTCAACAATTTCAACTATAGCTATGTCGACGTTCTAGTAGACTCGTACGGCTTCTGCACCCTGAGTTATGATCGATTTGGCATTGGCAACAGTTCACACGGCGATCCTTACACTTTGATCCAGTAAGTGTCCATCAATAACCAAAAGCCTACGAATAGGGCTACACATGCCTCAGAACCCACTGTGCTGACTTTTCAGGGCACCTGCGGAAGTATCTGCTCTCCATCAGATCAACGCAGGGCTTCGCAACGGAACTGTGCACGGAATTCCTCACGCCTTCGACAGAATCGTCAACGTCGGTCATTCCTTTGGTTCCCAACAATCGTACATGCTGGCAACGATGTATCCAGACAGCACAGATGCTATCATCCTGACCGGCTTCTCATTCAACGGCTCAGCCCTCGCTGCCACTCTGAGTTCCTGGAACTCCAAGATTGCCCGCGAGAACCAACCTTTGCGGTTCGGAAACACGACGTTCGAAGAGGTTGAAGCTGTGTTTGATAGCATAGGCATCAACCTCGAGAAGTTTAGCGCTGCAGCTAGTAATCTCAGCATATCCTCTAGCGAGGCTAGGGACATCTTGCGAACGACTGAGCTTTGGGACTTTATCGCCGGATACAACGAAACCGGAGCCGCGGCTCCTCAAGATTTGCCTACAGGGTACATCACATGGGCAGACGTATGGGCCAATCAATACGCCGTTAGTTTGCCGCTGTACGCTATGCAACCTTTCAGTGGACTTATGCTTTGCAGTTCCTCTATCCTTCCAACATTGATCCCGAGATCTTGTACTATTCAGAGCAACAGAAGCAACACTATACGGTATGCAGTCACTAGTTTAGCCTGCAGCCATATCCTGATCACAAAACTCTAGGTCGGAGAGATACTCAGTCTCGGAGGAACACCTGAAGTCTCGTCATTCAGTGGACCCGTCCAGATCGTCACTGGCAACCAAGATGCGATCTACTGTAGCGGTGACTGCATGGCCACAGGCCTGCCCAATGTTTCCTCGATTCCAGCCGCTGCGGGGAAATACTTCCCGAATGCGAAGCCATTTAGCGCTTACCTGCAACCAAACACTGGGCATGCTATCAATCTGCATTACAACGCCACTGCGGCGTACAAAGAGATTAGCGAGTTCTTGGTAGCGAATGGGTTTAAGCCTTCGTGAGTCCTAACATGGGGTTGAAATGCTATAAACGACAGTCTGCCTTCCCTGGGGCATACTGAGATAGTACCGTATGAGCTGAGTGTGCCAAGCCCGAACCCGTGGAGCGTGGAGCGGCTGATCCAATTAGAAGCCGAGTCTTAAGAATTTTCTCGCAGGGGGTTTCGCAATGTTATTAGCATTCGCAAACTTATACTAGAATGAATGGTAGACTTGTTGACGTGGAGCGAAGATGGTAAAAGGGCGGCCTGAAAGGGTGCTTCCTATTAAATTTAGGAGTGGGTTGGTCACTGATGTAGGAATCATGAACAGGCTTTAATTTCTCATCGCTTTGTTCGTATTAGAAGAAGAAAATTTACAAGTGGCTTTACGACTTAATGCTTTACAAGGGATATATCCATAACACATTATATAGCATAGAATAATCACATATATAACCTGTTATATGGCCTTTTAAAAAAGTCGCTTATATGTTTATACTTTACTGCATGCTACTTACTTTATAGCTGTTATACATATACTAGAGCATTTCTTAAGGACGAGCTTAATTACCACCCCCCCTTTCTCTCCGCATTACCCCCCTTTTCTCTTCCTACCATCCCCCCTATATTTAGCCTAGCTTCGGCTGGTAATAATTTTGTTCTACTAATTATATTCACTCGCTTATATAAATTGGAAAGGCTATAAATCGGAAAGAATTTATATATATGCAATAATACTCTATTTACTCTATTTACTCTAGCTAGTAAAGAAGCGGAAAGCTCCTAGATATAAAGGTATATAAGGCACGTGGTGAAATAGTAAGGTTTAAATAGCTGTTGTATTACTAATTAGTATATTAACTGGTTAAGATTATCGAGTTTACGGAGCAAGGTAGCGGTTTTAATATACCTTAGTCGTTCTTTATTAGAACGTAGTCTTTGTTATAATAAAGAGTTAACGTCTCTTTATTAAGATAAAGCCTCTTTATATATAATAAGTCCTTTATTAGAATAAAGAGTTCTTTATTAGAATAAAGGAATAAAGGATCTATAAATAGATTTGTATCTATATATATATATAGATAATAGAATAAAAAAATATATCGCTTATTCTTATTCTAATAGTAGATAGCCAACTCTTTATTGCTAATGAAAAGGAACACTGTATACACTATTATACTAAGGTCTTACACCCGAAGATCCTCTTGCTGCACCGGTTCCTTTACTATAAACAGCCTCCTTCTTAGGAGTAGACAGAGGGCTATCTTTAAGGGCTGGCTAACTGTCGGGGACTAAGGAAATAGAGCCCTGTATCGCCGTTAGGCCTGCTTATCCGGTAGAAAGGTCCGGTACTGTATTAGTAAATTAAGACCGTTATTTAACACTACTATTGCTTATAACCTAATTAGTAGAACAAAGTTATTATAAGCAGAAGCTAGGCTAAATATATAGGGGGGTTAGTAGGAAAAGAAAAGGGGGATAACACGGAGATAAAGGGGGGGTGGTAATTAAGCTCGTTCTTTTTTAACGCTCTCTAAAAAGTAAATAAACTTCTAAAAAGTAATGCTTCTCCAGGGGCTACTAGTTATATGTCCCTTTCGCCATCTTTATATATCCCTTCTTAGCTATATATACATCTCCTCTTATTACTACTCTAAAGATATCTACCTATTATTAGTAAACTCTACCTCTAATATATGCTTATAACTAGCAGACTTCTACTACTAGAAAAAGCTATTAGATATAATATATTATTAGGCGTAGTATAATTTAGTTTAGTTATAATTCTATAATTCTTTTAATTAAAAGTTAGTATAGCATCTATAAGTCCTGTATAGAGATAGCGAAAGCCTATATCTATATATTATATAAAAAGATTAAAAGAAGGTATAATATAGAATATATAAGGGATACTATTATATATTATATATAGGCTGTCTAATTATATAGGTTATATTAGGTAATAAAGGTAATTATTAAAGGTATAATAGCATAAGCGTTATATCCTTATATATAATGTTCCCAATACTATTAAACTATACACGTTTAGGTGTACTATAAGAAACATTAGATAAATATTATAGATATTAGAATATAATAAGCGCTATATTTCTAAGCTTCTAGAACCAGCTAAAACTAGATAGAATTTTATAGAAAGATTCTCTTATAAATTAACTATATTTGTAATATATAGAAGTATCTAGAATATACTAGTATAAGTATTATAAACTATGCTTTTAATAAGTATAAAGAAACTTCTAGTATGTATATATTTAAGTATATAGAGGCCCAACCTCTACAAAATAGAAAGAAATTTAATTTAGTTAATTCTACTTCTGTTTTGCTACCGCTCTATCTGTTAATCCTTTCTATACAACCTTTATAATAGAAGCGTTAGAGGACGTTTTATAAGCACTTTATAATGCTATATATATATATATAAGTCCGCTGCTGTTAATATAGAATAGAACTTAATTAATATAATTTCTTTTTATCTATCTATCTCTCTATCTATACATCGACTCTATACCTTTAATACTAATATATACTTTCTTAATTTATATAACTAAGTATAATATATTTCTTTAGTATTTAGATTTAATAATAGATTAAGTAACTAATATAGGTGGTAAGCAAGCTGCGCAGGTAAGCGAGCTGCGCACCCTACTAATATCTTCTATCTTTATAGCTATATATTTTAACAACGCTTAAAAATACTAGTAGTAGAGTAGCTGTCTAAGCTTAGGCAGTATCTATATAAAGGCTGGTAAGAACTTAAGCCTAGTAATATAGTTAATAGAGTTGCGCACTAGGCTATTAATCTAATACCTATACACGCGCGTTAATAGTAAGAAGCAGCCTATATTAAACAGCTATAGGAGGTATAATAAATATAGCAGTATATAAAGAGTATAGATATTATTCTTTTTATAGATTGCCTAGAATTCTAGCAAATTCTAGCTATTATAGCTTTCTAGAATTAGCAGCCGGCGCGTACTTATAGTTTTCCCCTTTATATACTTATTAAAGTGCTGTAGCTATATAATACTAAGCTTATTTGCTATCTAGCTATTCTTACTTACTAAAATAGCCTAATTGCTAGGTATTTCTCTATCCTTATACTAGGCAGAGAGGTAGTACTTTACTATAAAGATAATAAATAGCGGGATTACCTACCTAGTAGTATTAACTCCCTAGATTGCTATAGCCTACTTATAATTGCCTGGCTATATTACCTTTAGCCGGCTGCGCCTCTCTAAGCCTATAATAATAAGCTAAGATAATATCCTGCTAAAAAGAAAACTAGCCTTATTAAAGTTCTAGGTATTTATATCTAAAACGCTATATATAGCTTTAGTGCACGCTACTAGGTTAAACTAGGCCCTAATAGTTATAGAATCTTTATATAGGGCCCTCTACTAGTTATATAGTTAATTAAATTGTGTTATAAGGCTAGGTATCCGGTTAACAAAGTTCCTTAGCTACTTCTAGCCAACCTTGCCAGCACTGCGCTTAGCAAGCAGTAAATCTGCTATATCGCGTACAGCGCCTAGTGTAGGCGAAAACCCACGCGTATCTAGGTCCAGTATATATCTAATAATTGCCTCCTCTTTAAGCATAGTAAGTTTCTTCGAGTTAGGCTTGCAATTGCGTCATGCACGCGTTCTAGCGCGTCGGGAACGTAGTGTGGATTCAGGGATATTATAGGACGAGCTTAATTACCACCCCCCTATTCTCTCCGCATCACCCCCCTTTTCTCTTCCTGCCACCCCCCCTACATCTAGCCTAGCGCCGGCCCGTATTAATATTGTTCCACCAATCATATTCACTCGCTTATTAGATACGTAAAACGGCAAGGCTATACAAATCGGAAAGGATGTATACACGAATTGCATAGGATGTATATATATACAACAACAACAGTCTATTCACTCCATCTACTCTAGCTAGTCTAGAAGCGGAAAGCGCCTAGATAGCCGCCTCTTAATTGCTGATTGAAAGGAACG